AGACGAAAGAAGTAACTGCCCTGGGAAATCTGCTGCAGCTCTGGGCGTATTAAAAGTGAGAAGAGTTAGAACCTTTTGCTGAATCCCAAATCTGTCCCACTCAATTCTAAAATCACAGAAAGGGCAGGGGTGGAAAGGATCTTGAATCTGTAATTAGCAGCATAGGATTAAGAGCATGGGATTGGAATCCAAGACTGCCTGGATTCAAATCCTACTTCCTCCATTTGCTGCTTGTCTGACTTTGGGCAAAAATCCCTTGGTGTCTCCAGCCCCATGGTGACAGTGGCCACCTAATAGAACTATTGAGAAAATGAAAGACTGAGTACTAAGTGCCTACTATGGCACTGTAGGATAGATAAGCACTGGACTGGTAACCAAAAAGGCGGCAGTTCAAACCCACCAGCTGCTCCTTGGAAACCCTATACAGGGTCGGTATAAGTCGGAACCGACTTGACAGCAGTTAACAACAACAACATAAAGATAAGGAAACTGTAGCCCAGAGAGGAAAGAACTGAGACCCAGAAAAGGGACCACCAGCCCCTGGTGTGCGCAGCAGTCAGTAACCCTAGCTTCCCCAGAAAGCCCAGCAGGGTGCAACGAGGTCCTGTCCACACTAACCCAGCATGGGGCCACCTGAAGCATGTGGGGGAAAAGTCACTGCGCTGCTCCATGTCCTCATCTGCCCCCGGGGAGGCCCAGGAAAGCCCAGCTCCCTTCTATTGCCATTTATAGACAGGCTTCCATGCCCAGGATGCACCACCCCTTCCAGGATCTGCTAGAAGTCTAGTGACAAACCTCCAGAAGCTTTGGTGGGGGTGGGGAGGCTTGACTTCTCATTAGCTTCTTGGGGCATCAGGTACCTGTCTACATTGAATTCTGTGTAGTATGAGGAGTTTAGAGTCCAAAGTCCTACATCTTGGGTTTGAATCCCAGCTCTACAATTTTGCCAGCGGTGTGGCTGACACAGGTTTCTTGATCTCTCTGGATCTTTATCTTTGTAAAATGGACTGGAAGGTTCAGTGCTTCTTAGGGTTGTGAGGAAATTAAATGAGTTCTATATGACTTAGTTCTCTAATGATAACAGAAATACCACAAGGGGTTGGCTTTAACAGACAGAAATATATTTCCTCGTAGTTTAGGAGATTAGAAGTTCGAATTCAATACCCCAGCTCTAGGGAAAATCTTTCTCTCTAGGTCATTGCTGGGGGAAGGTCTTTGTATCCTCTCAACTTCTGTGGGCCCAGTGACCTTAGAGATCTCCATGTGTCTTGGCATCAGTCTTCCCCTGGGTCTTGGAGCACACTCCCTGGTCTTCTTTCAAGGTGGTACTGAACTCCCTCCCACTCTTCTCACTTCTCTCTCCTTTTATCTCTTGTATGACAAAGAATGAAGCAGACAACACCACACCACACCACACCTCACCTCAAGGAAACTCCCTTTACATGGCTCAGGGCTGCCGATTTTTTGTAAGGGTGATGAATCCCATCCATTCACCTAAAAATACAACCCAGTCCTCATTAACATAAATGAATTCTGTCCTCATTAATATAACTTAAGCCTGCCACATAAACCACAGGCAGAGGTTAGGGTTTACAGCGTATCACAAAAGGGAGAGTAATCATACAACACTGGGAATCACGGCCTACCCAAGTTGATACTTATTTGGGGGAGACAATTCAGTTAATGACACTCTATGAAAAGCATGTCAATTTGTATCTGGCACATGGCAAGTGTTCACTAAACAAATGGTTGCTCTTGTTAGGGTGTTATACTCTATAAATCCTTCAAAGTGATGTTTAAAATTGCTTTCACAAGAATGTCCCCTTAGTCCCTCTTTGAGAGGGTTGTTGTTAAGTACAGTCCGAGTCGGTTCCAACTCATAGAAACCTTGTATAGGGTTGCTGAGGAGCGGCAAGTGAGTTTCAACTGCTGACTTTGCAGTTTGAACCGACCTTGTAGTCCAGTGCTTATCCTACAGCACTATACTAGGACTGCTTCAGAGAAGGTTACTGTTGTTGTTGGTAGGTGCCATCAAGTTCCAGCGACCCTGTGCACAACAGAACACTGCCCCGTCCTGTACCAACCTCACAGTTGCTGTTTGAGCCCATTGCTGCTGCCACTGTGCCAGTCCTTCTTGTTGGGAGTCTCCCTCTTTTTCTCTGACCTTCCACTTTACCAAACATGATATCCTTTTCCAGGGACTGGTCCCTCCTGACAATATGTCTGAAGTATGAAAGACAACGTCTGGCTAACCTGGCTTCCAAGGAGCACTCTGGCTGTACTTCTCCCAACACAGATCTGTTTGTTCTTTTGGCAGTCCGTGGAACTTTCCTATTCTCCCACACCATAATTCAAATGCATCAGTTCTTCTATGGTTTTCCTTATTCACTGTCCAACTTTCACATGCATGTGAGGTTATTGAAAACACCATGGCTTGGGTCAGGCACACCTTAGTCCTCAAACTGACATCTTTGTTCTTAAATACTTTAAAGAAGTCTTGTACAGCAGATTTGCCTAGTCCAATATGTCGTTTAATTTCTTGACTGCTGTTTCCATGAGTGTTGATGGTTGATCCAAGCAAAAATGAAGTCTTTGACAACTTAAACCATTCCTCCATTTATATGGCTATAGTTTATTGGTCCAGTGGTGAGGATTTTTGTCTTCTTTACATTGAGGTGTAACTCATTCTGAAGGCTGTGGTCTTTGATCTTTATCAGTAAGTATCTGAGAGGGTACAGGGCCAGAATTCTTATTCCCATCTCACATATGAGGAAACTAAGAGTCAGAGTCACACTAAGGACCTGTCTGAGCTGGGGATTAAAATCTAAATCTTCAGATGCCTGAGTCCATATTCATCTCACTTGCTCCCAGCTGTTCTGTAAGGCCTTTTCCAGCCCTGGGCTGGACTGGAAAGCAAGTCTTGTGGAGGCTCCTTGGGGAAAGGGAGAAAAACACGGGGAGGCTCAGAGCAGGCACTAGAATGCACCCAACGTCACTGTTCCATATAGTTTTCTTGACAGTCTCTGTCCCTGGATCTCTCACCTCTTTCCCAGCCCCATCTAAAAGAACCTGGTGGTGGTGGTATGCCATGGAGTTGATTCTGAGGCTGTAAATCTTTAGGGAAGAAGAAAGCCTCATCTTTCTCCTGCGGAATGGCTGATAGTTTCAATCTGCTGACCTTGAGGTCATAATGTGTCTGACTTGTAACCACTACACTACCAGAGAACCTAGCACATGGCATTAAGGTTAAACAATGAGAAGAACTTCCCACAGGAAGGGAAATGAGGCAGTTGGGACATCTCTTTCCCAGGTGAGCCCCCAGGAAGTGAATATCATCTGATGATGTCACTTCTTCACTCCAAACATTTCCGTGGCTCCCATTGCCCTTGAGTTAAGTCTGGCCAGCTAGCTCCCCACCCACCTCGGTGTTCTTTGATCCTGGATGTTCAATGCCTCTTGACTGCCGCTATCTGGCTGGCCCTTGGCACACACTGTTCCCCTACTTTGGATACTCCCTGCATCCCAGCCCTACCTGCCTTGCCCAGCTAGCTCCTGTTTCTCCTTCTTGTCTCCCTTGACATGTCCCTTCCTCCAGGAAGTCTTCCCTGACCTCCCCACCAGTGCCTGCAGAGTGCCCTCCACTCCCCCTCTTCCCTGCTGACACTGTATATGACTAGCCACCTGATGACTTGTCTGTTTCACCAGCTGGGCAGCCTGAGGTCAAGTCCTGCTCTGACCATTGCTGGCAGTGTGACCCTTGGGCAAGTTATGTACCTCTAGAAGTCTCAGGTCTTCTTGTTGTAAAATGGGATAATAATAATCTCATAGGGTTATTAAGAAGATTAAAAAGGACTTTATATGTAAATATTAGTGCCTACAAACATTCTAATCCCTGAGTGGTAGAAACAGTTAATGTACTCTGCTGCTGACTGAAAGGTTGGAGATTTGAATCTACTCAGAGGTGCTTTGGAAAAAGGCCTAGTAATTTACTTCCAAAAAAAATCAACCATTGAAAACTCTATGGAACACAACTCTACTCTGACACACAGAGGGTTGGCATGAGTCGGATTGAACTCCACAGCAAGTGTATATATATATATATATACCTAAACCCTGTGATAAGGAGCTAGGAGCTCTGGTGGCGTAGTCGTTACGAATCAGGCTGTGAACCTTAAGGTCAGCAGTTCAAAGCTACCAGCCATTCCGTGGGAGAAAAATGAGGCTTTCTGCTCCCGTAAAGATTTACAGCCTTGGAAACCCTTCGCTATGGGTCAGAACCGACTCCACAGCACTTAACAACAAACCCTGTGATACAGAGTCCTGTATGGTGTGGCACTGTGGGTTAATGCACCAGACTGCAAAGCCGTTTGAACTGCAAGTTTGGTGGTTCAAGCTCACCAGCAGCTCCTTGGAAACCCTATACAGGGTCGCTATGGGTCAGAACTGACTCGATGGCACACAACAACAACAACAAACCCTGTGATAGCTAGAATGAAGAGAATGTGAGTGCTAAGGGGGACCCACCGCCCGTCTTTCTGTCGCTCATACTGTGGTGGCTTACAGGGGCTGTGGTGCTGAAAGCCATGTGGCAATATGTGTTCATACAGTATGCTATTTCAAATACCAGCAAGGTCACCCATGATGGAAGGTTAGTGCAGAGCTGCCAGACTAGGACAAACTAGGAAGAACGGCCTGGCAATTTACTTCTGAAATTTAGCCAACGAAAACCCTGTGAATCACAACTGAGGCTCAGAAAACCTAACTTGCTCAAATTACACAATAAATAAGTATTAAGACCAGGATGCAAATCCAGGCAGTCTGGCTCCAGAATCAATGCTTTCTAGTGAATATGTGCCTTTGTTTGTGAGGCAAGGGTTAGGGGCTTCATCTACAGTCCCACCTCCTGGTCTCTTTCAGGTCCCAGGAGCTCCTGGTTAGTGAGAGATCTCTGGAATGTAAGTGAGGCTGGCTGAAAGCCAAAGGTAAACCCCACCCCCACCATGTCACAGGTGATGTCCAGCCCCCTGCTGGCAGGAGCCCATGCCGTCTGCTTGGCTTCCCATGAGGAACTGAACAGGATCCTACACCCAGCACCCAGTCCTAGCCTGCCACCCCAGTGTCTTTACTACACCACGGAAGGCTGGGGAGCCCAGACCCTAATGGCCCCCATGCCCTGCAAGGGGCCCTCCGGCAAGCCCCAGCAGGCTCCACAGGCTGGGGCCAAATCCAGCTGCTTCCTGCAATCCTCCAGTGAGCAGGCCTCAGGGGCCCCAGACGACCTGGACTCCTCCATTGACTTCTCCTTGGAGAGCCTCAACCAGATGATCCTGGAACTGGACCCCACCTTCCAGCTGCTCCCACCAGGAACCAGTGGCCCCCGGGCCGAGCCTGCCCAGAACACAACCTTGAGGAGAAAGAAGGAGGAGTCCGAAGCCTTGGGTAAGGAACTGGGCACAGTGCCAGGAGAGGGACTTAGGGACCAGACGTCATGAGGAAGAAGAACTTTTCTCTGGAATCATAAAAGCAAGGGACACTGTCCTGTTAGGAGGTACTGGGTCACCCTAAAGAAGTTACTTAACCTCTCTGTTTTCTCTGCTATAAAACAGAGATACAAGTTTCCATCACTAGCCTATTCTATTTGGTTCCTAAGTTTAAAAAGTAACGAATACCTGCTTTATAGGATTTTTATATGAACTTAAATAAGTTAATGTATATAAATATTTTATACAATGCCAAGCAGATGAGGGGGCTTCAAAAAGTTTATGGAAAAATTCCCTGATCTTTTCATTTCATTTTTCTACAAACTTTTTGAAGCCCCCTGGTATAAGGAAAGGTTTAATAAAAGTGGGACCCCTAAACTCCATTGCTCTGTGGCATCTCTAGGTTCCCACCTGGACCCCCTAAAATTTTTGTAGGACTTTTTCTGGACCCCTATCCTTGTTTAAGGAGTCCTGGTGTGGCACGTTTGAACTGCAAGGTCGGCAGTTCAAGTTCACCAGCTGCTCCTCGGAAACCCTATACAAGGTCGCTATGGGTCGGAACAGACTCGACGGCACTTCACAGCAACAACAATCCTCATTTAGGGGAGTATTTCTGGGGAGGCCCAAGTTGAAAGTAGTGGGGTTGGAAAAACATAGAATTCAGTCTTTCTAGGGCAGGAATTCTGTTATATTCAAGCAGTAAGTAGTACACTATTACATGTTAAACTGGTTTTCTGGTAGAAGGGGTAAGCGGGGAGGTGGGGAGAAGCTCTGATTTGAAGTGTTTACTAATATCCATGATGAACATTTTCACCATCACTGATTTCAGTCTACCAACATAATATCACGGAGTAGAATTGGGAAGACATGTGCAGTTATATAGTATTTCTACCATACACATTCAGCAAATATGAATTACCTCAGGAGCACAGGTAATAGTAAACTATAAATAATTAGGATGTGATGAGTTTGGAATATTTACTACTTCTGTTTTAATGTAAGTTATTTAATTATAAGACTATATCAATTTAGTAATGGCTGAGTTTAGCAACCAACTAGACAAAATCCAAACAATTTAACAGTTACCTCTTGAAAGCTGGTGCAAGCCAGTTCCAGCACACCACTGTAGCCAAAAGATGCTGAGGATCCCCACATGTGGCCTCAGTTTGCCAAACAAAGAGTTCAAATCTACTCTGAGGGTAAGAGTTAAAGAGCAGCATCTCAGCCCTGAAGACTGAGACCTCCGAGGTCAAAGTGCCAAATTACTAGGTATTTCATAGATAGTCAAACCTTCAATTCACCCAATCCACCCCCACGGGATAAATATTTGTATGCCCATTTTACAGATTTAAAAAAAACAACAACTGAGGTTGGAGTCAGGCAAACCTTATACAAGCTGCCTACTTCAATTTCAGTGGTTCAAACTTACCAGTTGCTCTTCAGAAACCCTATACAGGGTCGCTATGCGTCGGAATCAACCACACGGCACTTAACAACAACTTCACTTTGTGTCTCAGATTCCTCATCTGTAAAAAAAAAAAAAAGACAAGAGTTTTTACCTCAAAAGGCATTGCAGAGAATTAAAAGTCATAATGTTGGTTGGCCTGCTGTTAAGTCATTATAAGTGGTAGCTGTTTTATTAAACATTGGGGTTGAGTTTAAGAGCAGCCCCAGGGTAGGTTTGGGCTCTCGGGTGGAGGTGAGCCCAGCACCCAGGTCTTCTGGCGCCCGGGCTTACTCCCACCTCCTCCCACCAGGGTTGCCTGCCAGGCCTATTAAAGGAACCACCTCCATGCCTCAAGAGTCTTTCCTGCTTCTTAAGGCCAGTCGTGGGCACGTCACTGCAGGGAAGGCGTCTGGAGCCTAATTGCCTCTGGCAAGAGGAAATCCAGGCTTTCATGTTCAGACCCCAAAGCAGGGGGTTGCACACACTCAAGGCCAACTGGACTAGAGCAGTGTCTGTGGACAGGAGTGTCGAGGATGTCCCACTGGGACAACCTGGCCCTTCCTCCTAGGGACTGTTGGGCAGTGGTCTGTGTTTGCAGATGCCCTGGGCACAGCCTGCATTGTAGCAATGTGTCCATCAGGGAATTCAAGGGGGATGGCAGTGGTCAAAGGGGGCTGATGAAGCTGCCCTAGCCCCTGATATAGAGTTCATTTTGTTTTGTTTTGTTAAGTCTCTCCTATAACTTCCCCCTGGACACCTCCAGTGCTGATAGCTCACTAGCTCCTGAGAACCAGTCCAGCCAGTCAGATCCCCATTAGGAAGCTCTGCTCTGTGATTATAAGAATACTGACCAGCACTTGTGGGTCTGTGTATTTCTTTATTTGCTTGACCTTTTCTCATGAATCTTCACCTTCCAAAACCTGTTCCACAATCCAATGCTCCTGGTGATAAAGTTCTCACCAGCCCCTGTAGTGTAACTAACTCTAGGCACTGTGGTGAGTTTTCATATTGTTCAATAGATTCAGAGGTCCCTGGGTGGTGCAAATGGTTAAGCACCTGTTTATGAGCCAAAAAGTTGGTGGTTTATACCTACCCAGAGGCATCTTGGAATACAACAGATCTATCTTCTTCCAAAGGCCACAGCCTTGAACACCCTGCTGAGCAGAACTGCTTGATACACAGGGGGTCTCCATGTAACCAAATCAACTCAACTGAATTAACAACAAATACAATCATTTGGGGACCCTCTTCTGTTTTGCAATTTATATTTCCTACTTTTGGGGTGTTGAAAGAAAGAACTTCATAATTATGGTGTTGGTAGATGTTTGCTGTTTCTCTTATGCTCTAACTTGGCAAAATTAAATACTGGTCATCATATGTTGATTCGTCAGATTTTTTTTTTTAAGTAGTTCATAGAATACATGATCCCCACATTTGCCCTGTAGCAGGGGTAGCTTTGCTTGTTAAGTGCTGTCAAGTAGATTCCAAACCATAGCGACCCTGATAGGAATTCCAAGGAGCAAATGATGAGCTTGAACTACCGACCTTGCAGTTCAAAGGACTTTGCAGTCTGACGCATTAGCCCACAATGCCACACCAGGACTCCAATACAGATGAGAAAACTGAGGCTTAGGGAGATATAGTGATGGTCCATGCTCACACAGATAATTGGTAGGAGTTGTTGTTGTTAAGTGTCGTTGAGTAGGTTCTGATTCATAGCGACCCTGTATAGGGATTCCAAGGCCCGGCTGGTGAGTTTGAACCACCAACCTTGCAGTTCAAACTGACCTTGAAGTCGAGTGTGCCAGTTCTCAAATCTGGGCTGTCTGATCTTCAAAAGCAAGTTCTCTATATGCCTCTTCCCTGGAGCTAGCTTCCTGCCCTTCAGGTTTCACAGAGTAAATATGTTTGGAGGCAGCCTGCGGGCTCCTCCGCATTGCTCCGGAACCTTCCCCTAGACTCCAGGCCCCTGCCCTCTTGTGTACCTTCCTTTAAACAGGGAACATGGCTTCTGGAAGCAAAAGCTTTTTGTTTCTCTCCCCTCTTGGTCTTTGAAACAGGCCCCCACATTTCTTATTCCAGCAATATTTGCTAGGCAAGGCTGTTTGCCAATCCCAAGTGAAGGATGTTTAATAACAGTCTCCCAACCCCCCTCCACAGCCTCTCCCCCTCCCCCACCTGGCCTGGCCTGGCCCTGGTGGCTACATCCACCCAGCCCTGTTCAGACTGGCCTCACAGACCAGTAAACAGCAGCTGCACCCAGGTGATAGGCTGGGGGCCTCCCTGGGAGATGACTCCACTCACCGCACCAGGACTCCGCCCCGCTGCTGCCCTGTTCCATTGTTGGTGTGTCTTTGGATAACTCAATGAGTAAGGGACCTAGAGCTTCCCCAGGCTGAAAGATAACCCCCAGAGTAGCCAAGCACCTTTTCACAGAGCAAGAAGTGAGGGGCAGACCCCAAATAGAACCCAGAAGCAGGAGCCAGGTGCCTCCACTCCCTGGCTGGGTGACACCACATAATCATGTAACCTCTGAGCCTTGATCCCTTATGTTACATGGTGTGGTGCCGTAGGATCAGCACAGGAGTGCTAACTACAAGGCCAGAGCTTCAAACCCACCAGGCGTTCCTCAAAAACCCTGTACAGGGTCGCTCTGAGTTAGAATCAACTCTACAGCACCTGACAACAAAAACAACATGAGGGCTAACATTTCCTACTTCCATGTGTGCCGGTTAAATGAACTACTAGAGAAAACACGTTAGCAATAATGCTGGCGCGTTGTGTTCCATAAATACCAGCCTTCATTAAAAATTGGTTATACTTAAAACGGAAATGCAAATGCAAATATCTCTTCATAAGATTAATCACCTAGTACAGTGCTAGTCACACAGCAGGGGTCTCCATGTGTTCATTATATCCCCACTTCTCTCTGAGCCTCAGTTTCTTCCTCTAAAAGTTAACACTCGTCCTGCCTTTATAAGGTTTGAAGGGATGAGGAATGTAAACACTATAAAGTGATATAAAAATAAAAAGTTACACTAGCCAACCTCCCAGAGGAATCCACTCCACTTCCAAGATCTTTTCTCCTCCAGAACCCACCAAACATTACCCCAGATATTCTCCTCTCGCCTTCATCCTCAGAAGCAAAGAGATCCCCACTTTAACCAGAAAGTATCCCATTTGGCCAACACTGCCCCGACAGGCAAGCAGGCAGGCTCTAGACTCCTCCATAGGTCTGTTGAATCCTCACCACAACCCTACACAGGGTCTCTATGAGTTGGAACTTCACCACCTTAGGAAGCTGGTGTTAGATTACCGCTCTGCAGGTGAGGAAACTGAGGCTCAGAGAAGTTAGGAAAGTTGCCCAATGCCTCTGGGCTGGTAAGTGGCCAAGGTGAGGCTCATACCCAGGTTAGCTGACAGCAAAGCCAAGCCTGTTCCTCACTGGCGGGAGCAGCAAGCCCAGGTCAGCCTCCAGCTTCCCAGTCTGATGTAATCTATGGCCACCCCCCACAGTCTGAGCAGGCTCAGACACAGGTTGTATGCATGAGCAGGCCCTACCCAGGTGCAAGCTGGGGCAGGCTAAGACTCCAGTCATGGCAGAGGGAGGGGTGGGGTGCATGGGGCAGACAGGAGCTGAGGGTGCAGTTTTGTGCTGCTCTGCCCCAGTTTCCCTCCTAGGAAGCCAGGCCTCACCTCCCCGCCCCCCCCGCCCCCGAGGAAAGAACAGCCCAGTGGACAACTCACCCCCCCAGGCTGGAGAGAGGGGTGTCTGTCGTCACCATGGGGAGAACTGCAGGGCACCCCACCCCAGGGATGACCTCCAGAGGAGGAACAGGGTCTTGGAAACCCAAGAGTCCCAAACTCCCACAGGAATGGGTGATGGAAAGAACCCTGGAGGAAGAACAGTAGCCTGGGGATTGTCAGGAAGCACCAGCTGCAGCTGGATTTAGCTGGTGGTTAGTGAGGACCCCACAGGCCCACAGCCCAGTACAGCTCAGCCCTGCCCTCAGGGAGCTCTCACCCTGAAGAAGAGCTTCTCAAACTTTAAGGGGCACCCTGATCACCCTTGAGGGGGTTAGCAGAGGGAGGGTGGAGGCTGTGATTCTGGTGAGGGTGCTGCTGGGCCAGGGGCCACAGGAGTATGAATCACCTGGGTCTACCCCCTGGGGACAGCCTGGACATCAGGATTTTGTAAAGTGCCCCTGGTGATTCTAGCTCACCACCCAGGTTGCGGACCCTCGTCTTCACCGGAAGAATAGACATAGAGCAGTAGAGCACATGACAAGGTGTTATTGGCATGTTCCACTCTGCAGTCCAATCACCTGGGGATTGGGGCACAGACGAAGGAGAGGCTCCTCTCCGCAACTGAGCACCTACTGTGTGCCAGGCGCAGTGCCACTCACATTAGTCTTACATCACCCTAACTGTAACAGCATGGACCAGGGAATAGTCGTCCCATTTTATAGTGCTGGAAACTGAGGCTCTGGGCAGCGAAGTCCTTTGGCCAAGCTCTCTCACATAGTGGCAGAGTCAGTCTGGGACCCAGGTCCATCTGTGCTCACACCACTACATCTCGCCAAGCAAGGGAACACGTCACAGAGAGGGTGACACAAGAGCTGCGTGTTGATCCTGATTCCAGCAAGCTTCTCCTAAGTGTCCATTGCCTCATCTATCCTGAGCATGAGCCAGCTCTGTAGCTCTGGCAGGTCAGACGCCCAGGCTTCACCAGTGCTCTCCTTCTCTTCCCAAAGATATAAAGTACATCGAGGTGACCTCCAACAAATCAAGGTGCCACGATGCCTCCCAGAGTTGCTGCAGCCCATCCGTCAGCCCGACCTCCAGCTCCCCCCGCAATGGTGGCCTCCTCCTATCCAGAGACGTTCCCCGAGAGACGCGAAGCAGCAGCGAGAGCCTCATCTTCTCTGGGAGCCAGGGAAGAGGGCAGCAGGGTCCCCTGTCTCCCTCTGGAGCTCTGTCTTCTCATCCCTCACATTCCCCTAGCATCTCTATTCCATGCAAGGGAAGCAAGGGCCTGGGCCCCCATGGCTCAGGTTCCCCACTGGTGGCTTCTCCAGGCTGGGACAAGGGGCCGGGAGGCCTGATCCCGAAGCGGAGCAGCCGAGTCTCCATGCTGTCAGCCAGCCCGTCATCTGATGTCAGCTACGTGTTCGGAAGGTAGGTCACTGCAACTGCAACTCTGGCACTGCTCTCTGCCATACATACACACATGGATCCTAAAATTAATTATATAGGGGCACGCCGAACAAAATCTCAGTGTGCCCCCAACTAAGAGGGAATGTTTTCTTTGCTAAAGGCATGGCAGCCAATTGAGTCTCGAGCTTTTTTCTTACACCTGTAGAAGATGATTAAATACACACAACTCTTGACTTACACCTACCTCTTTGGAAAAAGAATTATTGCTTTAATGACCCTCACCTGTATCTTTCCAGCCCATCACAACCCATCTCAAGGAAGGGTAGTTTTTTATTAAAAATGCAGGACATAAAAAAAAACAACACAGGACATAGGAAGTAAATAGAATTTTAGGGCCCAAGATGGAGCATTTAAGAATGAACAAAACTACCTCCTTCCCCTTCCCTTTGTTGGGGGTTGAGCCTGACTGACGATTGTCCCAATCTATTCTCTATACACCACCCAGCAGGACCACATACTCACTCCCATCCTGCCTCAGAAAACCAAATCACGGGACCTCTGCCTCCTAAATCAATACCAGAGCCACCGTGCCAAGGCATTCCCTGGCAGGAGACTGGCACTTCCACAGCCGTGCCCATTAGCATGGGCCCCGGAGCTGAGGGCAAAATCTGACTTGATACAGGATCTGACCACCTCCCTCTCCTCCTGCATCAGCCATGGATATGATCCAGCCCAGGACTGCAGGCCCTTGGGGTGAGAATGGGAGCAGACAGGAAGGATAACTCCATCAGACCTGGCTGGCTGGGAAAGCAGAGGGAATCAAACCCAGACTAAACCCACCTTACCCACAGTGGCTATTTTAAACAAAGACCAGAGACATTTCTGTATCATTCAGCATCCTTGGGAATCAAAGGTGGAGCCATGCCCTTTGCTCTGGGCTATGAGGTCAGGACCGAGGCCATGGGCACCCAGCTCACTAACTTCCAGACCTGGCTCTGGCCCCTGAGTCCTGTCCATCCCTGACACCCTAACAGGCCATCCGGTGCTCTCTTCCCTACAGCAGCCAGTCGCTCCTCCACTCCAGTATCTCCAGCCATCAATCGTCTTCTAGGTCCTTGGAAAGCCCAACCAGCTCCTCCTCCAGCCTCCACAGCCTTGGCCCAGCGTCCCTATGTACGAGACCCAGTGACTTCCACATCCCCAGCAACCGTACCCCAAGCGTGGGCCCACCCAGAGCAACCCAGTCCCCACCACTGGCCAAGGAGCATGCCAGCAGCTGTCCCCCATCCATCACCAACTCCATGGTGGACATACCCATTGTGCTGATCAATGGCTGCCCAGAACCAGGGTCTTCCCCACCCCAGTGGACCCCGGGACATCAGAGTCTTGTCCGACCTGGGACTGCTTCCAACAACCACTTTCCAGTCACTGGAACCCACAGCCAGATCCTGTCAGATGCCTCCCTCACCACATCTCTGGAGGGTACGTTGGAAGCCAATACGTCAAGTGTTATAAGGGGACTAAACTAAGCACAGGAGGATTTCTCCAATAGCAGTTAACACATTTACTATCTACTGTGTGCCAGGTAGTGGAAACACAGATGGACGCAGTCTAGAAAGACAGACAACACCACTGAATGCTATTTGTTGCTGATTAGGGTTTCCAAGGAGCAGCTGGTGGATTTGAACTACTGGGTGCAGAATCTGACTGTGGTTTGTGGTCCAGTGCTGATCCTACAGTGCCATACAGGAGTCCAATGATTACTTTAGAATAGAATAAAATAGAATAAAGAGATGTTGTAGGTCTGGGGCGGGCCACAGAAGAAGGAATCATTCTTCTAGTCTGTAGAACCAGGAAGGCTCCTCAGGGGATGTGACATTTGAACTAGACCTGGAGAGTGGTGCAGAGTTTATGGGCAGAGGAGACGAAGAACATTCTCCATAAAGGGAAGAGTTAGTTCCCAGTCATGAAGGTGTAGACACACATGGCATATTTAGGAAATGACTGGAATATTGGGCTTAGGGTGAGGCCATTAGAGTAACCTGGGGCCATATTGTGAAAGACCTTGGACACCAAGCTAAAGAATGGATTTTACCCTTTAGGCAATGGAAAGTCCCACACCAGGAAGTTGTGGGGTTAGAGGTATGTGTTCAGCAGAGCTCTCTTGACAGCTGTGGAGCTGATGGGTTGCAGGGGGCCCAGCCTGGGCAGGGAGGCCAGCTTTTATTTGGTTCTGTTTGGTTTCTCATCATGAAGTGAAGGGATCCAAACAAGCCCTGACGGGGGCCTGAACCAGGGCAGGACAGTCAGGGTGGAGGAAGGAGACAGAGCCAGGAGACCTGCGGGGAACAGAGGCAGCAGCTGATGACTAACGTAGGAGAGGGAAAGGCAATCACAACTGACGTTCGTAGATGCCGAGAACACAAGTGGGGGCGGATGGAATAATGAAGACAGAGCATTCCAGTTCAGACAGTTAAAACCACAGAATAGCAAACACCCTCCTTCCCCGAGTCTGTGACTACAGGCATCCAGTTTCACCCAGAACCCAAAGCAGTAAACACCAAGGCTAACCCCTTAGCACCCATCATGCCCATCTCTCATGAGCAGAGCCAGGAGGAACTGTCCTTCTGGGGCCACCTCCCTCCTGAGGCTGTGACACTCATGGTAGGTCTCACTCTAGCCCACTGCCCTCTCCCCCTAAAGAAGTCACGTCAGTGCAAGCAAGAGAAAATGGCATGACAAGGATGCCTTTGGATCTACTCCGATCCTTTTCTTAAGACAAAGCATTCACAGATCTTAGTACATAATTTATATTATTGTTACTCACCACTGGCCACAACGCACCTTTTCAAGATGCCAAAATTGAGAACTATTGTTCTCTGCCTTAGACAGCCAGGAACTTGGGCATTTTAGCATCTCAGAAGGCACATTTACTTAGTCCAATGAGTCTTCCCATCCTGGTTTGGTGATGTCCCCAGATATCACCATACTCTGGGATATCATCAAATCTTGCAAAATAGTCTCAAAATTCTTTTAAATTTCATAAGATAACTGGAGCATTAAAGACCTTCAGAGATTTAGTCCATTCTGTCCCCCCTGGGGTTCAGAGGAGGGTCCCTGAGTACTGCAAATGGTTAATATGCTCTGCCTTCTACTAACCACAGTTAGGGTGTCGCAACCACCTGGAGTACATCAGAATAAAGGCCAAAAACCCACTTCCAAATTACCAACCATTGAGCCCTGTGGGGAACGGTCCCACTCGGACACCTGAGGTCTCCGTGAGTTGGAATCAACTTGATAGCAGTTAGTCAGAAAGTCAAGTCAGAAATCCAGTCTCTTGACTTACAAGCTCTTGCCCAGATCTGCTGTTTTCCTTTCTTTCACCTTTTTTTCTCCTCAAAGTGAATATATCTTATACCTTATAAGGAATTCTTAGAACTATTAATGGAGGCGAGATCAAGCAAATGATGGGTCTGAGAATCCGTTATTTCAATTCCCACCAGACAAAGTCAGATTTAAGAAACAGTTTCTCGTTCACTGAGATTTCATCTGCAGGATTTGGTTTTGATCCATTGCCAAGCATACCAGGGGTTTCCTAAGTCCTTTTGCTGTTGTTAAGTGCTGTCAAGTTGGTTCCGACCCATAGCAAACCCTGGTTTATGAGGAGTGACTAGTGAGCTTGAACTGCTGACCTTGTGGTTCAAACTGACTTTGTGCTCCAGCACTTTAGCCCACAGCGCCACACCAGGACTCCATCTAAGTCCTAGAGACACCAAATCCCGAAATTCTGTTTAATTTTGCTTCTTGTAAGCAGTTCAGAGATATAATGGGGTCAGGGTGGAGAAGGTGGGTTGAGAGGACCCCTGGACAGAAGAGGGGAGGGTTTCCAGCCTTTAGTGGCCCTTTTTCAGTTCCCCTTTGCCTAGCCTACAGAATCCCCCTTCTCTATCTCCAGGTTCCTCCAGGGACATGCAGCCCACCATGAAGTTTGTGATGGACACATCAAAGTACTGGTTTAAGCCAAGCATCACCCGAGAGCAAGGTAAAAAGAGCCACTGTGTCTTGGGGACAAGTGACAGCAATAGGCTTTGTACTCCACATCAGGCAGACCAGGCCTGAGTCATGGTAGAGAAGATTCCCGGAAACCAAATTGGTTGTGTAGTTTCTGCTTTCTGAAGACCCACGGGGCTGGGGGACAGAGGCTGTCTACATAGGACATCATTGTCTGACTCAAGGATTGTTCCAGCAATCGAGTTGCTGAGGAAGGAGGAGCCGGGGACTTTCGTGGTGAGGGACAGTTCTTCATACCGAGGTTCCTTCGGTCTTGCCTTGAAGATACACGAGGGTTCTGCATCTGCCCAGACCCGGCCAGGTATGCACCTGCCTCTGCTCACTCAAGGCCTCACCAAGACCATGAGATGTGGTGAGTTCTAGTCTCTCAATGACTCTGGGAGGGGGGTCCACCTCAGGGTAGCGCCCAGGCTCTGTGAGCAGCTCCCTTCACAGGCCCAAACTTCCTTTGCCTTCCTGAGCCCCCCAAGTCCACTGCTTTAGACACAGGGAAACTCATGGGCAGAAGAGGAGGAGAAGGTCCAGTCCTTCTGTAGACTGCTTTCTTCCAAGTCTGCATCTCTGTCCTGAGTGGACTTCTACTGAAGGGACACATGTGATTGCTTACCATGTGTGTGAGAGATCGGGGCACTGTGAGTCATCAACTACATGGCAATGGTGAGACAGATTATCACATAGATGAAGGACAGAGTGTCACATGTGTGTGGTAGCTCATCGTGTGCTTTTTCGGTAATTACACACACTCATCGGGGTAACTCAGTGTGTATTTATGGGGCAGCCGCTGTGCACCGGTCACTGTGTAAGACACCAGGGACACAGCAAAGAATCAAACGTGGATGCCACCTCTTTGGGGAGATATACGACGGGGGCTTCAAAAAGTTCATAGAAAATTTCCAATATCTTTTCATTCCATTTTTCCATGAACTTTTTGAATCCCCCTTATAGAGTCCTTGTGTGGCGCTATAGGATAAGCACTGAACGGCAAGGTCAGTTTGACCACAAGGTCGGTAGTACAAATTCACCAGCCGCTCCTTGGAAACCCTATACAGGGTCACTATGAGTCAGAACTGACTGACTCAGTGGTACTCTACAACTTAGGATAACACATAATTATAGTACAAGATACCCGGGTAATACAGTCCCTCACCTCACCCCCAGATGTTGTACCTCCCACTTTACAGATCAGGTAACTGAGGTTCCAAGTGTTAGTTAATGAGCTTCTACCACACTAGGAGATAGAGGGAGCATGAACATGACCTCTGAGGTAGGATTGGTTATCAAGGGGGCTTTGTCAGAGACCATGAGCCCAAAGAGAGGAGGAAGCTGGGGGCTGGTGAAGAGGGAGATGGGGGGCCTGGCGTCAGCAGGGAGGAACTGACATTGAATACTGAAGCCTGGGATGAGATGGTAAGGGGAGAGAGAAATCAGACTGAGGAGTTGTAGTTTGATCAAAACAGTAATCAGGAAGCATCCCTGGTAGCTCTTGAGACTAAAAGAAAGCTCTCCAGAAGGAAGAATCATGGGACTCAGAATCCTTTGAGAAAGCTGTTGACACCTCCTTTGTGGAAAGCCTTGAAGACAGGATTCCTACCTACAGTTCCACCCAGAGGCAGGAGGGTGAACAAGATAATTTCATGATAGCCCAGAGGAAAGGAGCCAGAGAATGAGTGGTGAGTCTTCATTAACTCTGCAGCTCCCATCTGCGTCTACTCTGCCTTCCTTCTTTGTCCAGGCGAGGACAGCAATGACCTGATCCGACACTTCCTCATCGAGTCTTCTGCCAAAGGGGTGCATCTCAAAGGAGCAGAGGAGGAACCCTACTTTGGTGAGTGGGCAACCTCTTCTGAGCAGGGGTAGGGGTGGGCTAGGGAAGCCCCACTCACCCAGGGACGCTGTTTCCTTGCAGGGAGCCTCTCTGCCTTTGTGTGCCAGCACTCCATCATGGCCCTGGCCCTGCCCTGCAAGCTCACCATCCCACAGAAAGGTGAGCCACGCTGGGGCATTGGGCCTGCTTGATCTCACCTTATCTGTGGATGATTTTAGTGCCACAGGTGAATCCATCAACATCTACACTTAGTGGTGGTGAGGATCTCAGAAGGTTAACCTTTCCAAGCCTCCGTTTCCTCGTTTGTAAAACAGAGACAATCACAACCGTATCTATTTACAGAGTTGGGACACGGATTAAAGAGGTTACACAGGCTAAACTCTCAGCACAATACCGGGCACACAGTAATTGTTTGATAAATATGTCTTCTTTAAGAAGAGAAAGGATCACAAATCAGCCCATTTGGAGAGGCTTCTTTCTCTCTTTCTTTCTTTCTCTCTTTCTTTCCCTGGAGTACCTGGGTGGTGCAAATGGTTAAACACTCAACTACCAGCCCAAAGGTCTGGTCCACCCAGAGGTACCTCTGAAGAAAGGTCTGGCAATCTACCTCCAAAAGGTCACAGCCATTGAAAACCCTTTGGAGCACAGTTCTACTAATGCACACATGGGGTCACAGTGACTTGGAATTGACTTGATGGCAACAATTTGGTTTTTTTCTCTTTGCTTTTTGGGTTTTCTCTAGACCCAACTTTCACAGTAAGTTCCTGTGTTACAGACATCCTATTTACAGACAACTTCTTGTTGTTAAGTGCTGTCAAGTCGGTTCCAACCCATTTCAGCTCTGTATAGGATTTCCGAGGAGCACTGGTGAGCTTGAACCTCCAGCCTTGCAATTCAAACAGCTTTACAGTCTGGCATATTAACCCACAGCGCCACACCAGGACTCCAGACAACTCATGGTGTTGGTGTGTGTTGTGTGCCTTGGAGTCAGTGGTTCCGACTCATAGCGACCCAGTACAGGGTTTCCGAGGCTGTAAATCTTTACGGGAGCAGAAAGCCTCATCTTTCTCCTGTGGAACAGCTGGTAGACAACTCAAACTTACCCTTTAATGTTAAACAAATTTGCTTTCTCTTTGAAACAATTGAACCAAGCCCTCCAAACCCAAACCCACTGCCTTCTGATGGATTCCAACTCGTGTCAAGCCTACAGGATAGAGTGAGTTTTCCAAGGCCGTAACTCTCTACTGAAGTAGACTGCCTCATCTGTCTCCTACAGAGCAGCTTGTGAGTTTGAACCACTTTCAGTTAGCAGTCCAATTTTAAGCCCCTGCAGCGTCACTAAAGCAGGGGTTGGGCACCCTTTTCTGACAAAAACTGTAACATCATTCATGAACCATACAAAATTACTGTAACATCATTCATGAACCATACAAAAATAACCATAAAATTTAACCTGCTATATTTGGACTCCTGGTGTGGCACTGTAGGATCAGCAGTGGACTGCAAATCAGAAGGCTGGCAGTTCAAAACTACTAGCTGCTCCTCAGAAACCCTGTTGTACGGCGTCATTATGAGTTGGAACCAAATTGACAGCCCTTAACAACAACAAATATTTGATCAAACAGCTAATTAACTCACCCCTAATGTGATGGCTAAGGAGCTCTGGCAGTGTAATGGTTACGAATCAGGCTGCTAACCTCACGGTTGGTTGTTCGAAACTACCAGCTGTTCCGCGGGAGAAAGATGAGGCTTTCTGCTCCTGTAAAGATTTACAGCCTCAGAAACCCTGTACAGGGTCACTATGAGTTGGAAGCGACTCCACGGTACTTAAAAACAATAAATGTGATGGCTGGACTCCTGGTGTGGCTCTGTGGATTAATGCACTGGACTGCAAAGTCATTTGAAACACAAGGTCGATGGTTCAAGCTCACCAGCCGCTTCTCGGAAATCGTATACAGGGTCACTATGGGTCAGAACCGACTTGACAGCACTTAACAATGACAATAACGTGATGGCTGGAGTCCTGGTGTGGCGCTGTGGGTTAATACACTGGACTGCAAGGTCTGTTTGAACCGCAAGGTCAGTGGTTCAAGCTCACCAACCACTCCTATACAGGGTCACTATGAGTTGGAACTGACTCCATGGCACTTAACAACAATGTGCTGGCTAGAACTTTGAGTTGACAGGGCCAGACCAAATGGTTTTGTGGGCTTTATACAGCCCTCAGGCCAAACAGTCTCCACCCCTGTACTTAAAGTAAGGCTAAGACCCATATTCACCTGTTCCAACTTACCAGCAAATTCAACTTAAAAACAGACTTAGGAACCGGTCTCATTGGTAACCCAAGGACGGCTTGTATTTATGTATTTAGCCCTCACGGATTTGTTTTCTCACATCTACAACCCGTTAGTTGGTGTTGCCCTGATCATTCCCATTTCACGGATAAGAAAACAACAGCCCCAAGCATGAATTAACTTGCCCAAAGTCACCGCCCTTTCTCCCCCCCCCCCCCCCACTGCATGCTCCCCAGATAAAGGCGGTCCTCTCCGGGGTGTGTAGGAGCAGTGTGGAGAGGTGGTACTGGAAAAACAGAGGAGCAGGGGAGGCCCTGGTGGAATGCAAAGAAAGGCTGGGGACAGGAAGTGAGCTCAGGGGACTGTCAGGAGGTCAGAGCCACAGTCTCTGAGAGATCAGGGGGAAAGAAAGAATCCAAAGGCTTGCAAACTAGGCATTTGGGGAGCCCAAAGTGGCTCCCTAGTGGCCTAATAGTCAGTGGGGGCTAAGGGGGAGATGTTCAAAGGGATTAATGAGGCCTGTGCCCCTGAGAGGGTCCATTCACTCTGCACTGACCCCCTCGGGGTCTGTTCCTTCCCCTTGGTTCAGAACTGGGAGGTGGAGACGGAGCCCCAGACCACTCTGCAGACAGCCGAGCCTCCTGCCTGAAGAAATCTGCTGGTGAGTGGGTGAGGAGGCACTGGGCATGCCTGTACCTCAGTGTACCTCCCAGCGTGCACTCACAGTGCCCAGCAGGCCCACACGTGTTTCCCATCAAAGCCTTATTTCTGCATCTTTAACAAGGTGCCACATTCCTCCCCCTCCCTATAAACCCAGATGAAAGGCTGTAAGCATGAGGACCTGGGCAGGAGAGGAGGAGGGGTTGGCCAGACTTAACAGCCCATCCTGTATATACATGCTATGTGCTGAGCCTCTGGGGCCTGGGGCACCTGCCCTGAGGTGGTCTCTGGGTCTGGGTCTTCGTGGGGTGTTAGGTCTGAGTCCTGGGGGTTTCTCAGTGACAGCTGCTTTGTCCTCCTGAACACAATGACCCCATCTCACCTCCTGTATTCTCTCTCTACTCTCAGGGGGTTGGTAAGGGAGGCCAGCCTTGGGTCTAGGGAGAAAACTGTATGTCTGGAAACCCCTCTTCAAAGGGCAACGTCCCCTCCTTTGTCCAACCCTGGAGTACTAGGGGCCAGGACAATGCAACACAGTAACAATCCAGAAACCTCTGGGGTTGGCTCAGATTGTATTCTCTTCCTGCCTAGGGGCTCAGGATGAGCCCAACAGAAGGAAGGCACCTCCTCCCCTGGCTGGGGCAGAGGGTGGACCCCACCCACCCCGTGGACCCCGGCCCTGGCCCCAGCACAGTATCTGTATCTCACAGGCTGCCATGCCTTGTACCTGAACTCTGTGAACGTGGAGACCCTGACTGGAGCCAGGGCTGTGCAGAAGGCCCTCTCGAGCACCTTTGAAAGGGATGTCCTCCCTACGCCCACTGTGGTCCACTTCAAAGTCACCGAGCAGGGCATCACCCTGACTGATGTCCAAAGAAAGTAAGGCCTTCCCTTGCCCTGGGGCCACAGGACTGGGCAGCGGGGAGCTGTAGGGGGTGACTGAGACAGCCAAGGACCAGTGATAGAGGAAGACTTCAGAGTCCTAAACCCAGCCGGGTCTGTGATGTGTTGGGTGACCACCTTCACTGTGACTGATGGGCACTGATGACATCTGCACCCAGCAGGGAACATTCTCCAAGGCCACTCTAGCTGACCATAGGGACACAGAGTGAAATGAAATCCTCCTTCCCTGGGCTCAGGGACTCACACTCTAGTACCATCTGACCCCAACCTGGGCACTTTTACAGGGAGGAAAAAGAGGTAAAGGACTTACTATCCTCAAAAAGTTGAGTCTCCATGCTTTCTGTGGGGCACCTCAAATTGTGGTCCCCTCAGGTACTCCCTGCCTGGTGACTCAGAGGCCTAAGCCCACAGGATTCCTTCTGGTGAGGGATGTTGTTGTTAAAGTGCCATTGAGTCAGTTCCTATTCACAGTGACCCTGTATGGGGCTCCCAAGGAGTGTCGGTGAGTTTGAACCGCCAACCTTAATGCTTATCATCCAGCACCTCAGGGTGAGGGTAGGAAATAGAAAACCCCAATATGTCCAACACAAAACAGATGCACACCATGAGAGGACAGAAGCACAAATGTGTGCCCCAGGGCTCAGTGGCAGAAAAGGTCCTGGCAGGTTGACAAGGGTCTAACCAGGAGGCTTCTTGGAAGATGGGGGCATGTGAGCTTCAGGGGATCCAGAGATGATGAAAACAGGCTCTCATTGGAACCCCTGTCTTCCACCTCCTCCCAGGGTGTTCTTCCGGCGCCATTACCCCCTCACCACCCTCCGCTTCTGTGGCATGGACCCTGAGCAACGGAAGTAAGTTCAAGACTAGGCCACTAAGCAGGGCACCCAGGGCATAACTGCCCTCGCTAGCAGCCCACCAAGCTTTCCTGAAGAAGGAGGGCTGCCTCTGGGATTGGGGTCACAGGGGCAACAGCATGAGGGCAGGATGTGACACGGGGGGCACGGTAAGGGGAGGTGTATGTGTCCTCTGCTCAGCCCCAGCCCTGCAGAGCAAAGCAAAGCCTTGATGTCCATTCCCGTCCATCTTCTCCCACAGGTGGCAGAAGTACTGCAAGGCATCCTGGTAAGACCGCCCAGTTGCTATAACATGTGACCCTGTTGCAGGACCCTGCCCAATATGGGGAGGGAGTTAGAGGAGTGGGAGACCCCATTTTGACTTCAAGGAGGCATATAAGGTTTTGATGGGAGAGCCCCCAGTCTGATGGAGGAAAGACTTCACAGGAGACATGAGCCTGAGAACCCTCAGTTGTATATGAGCAATACAGGCTCTAACCTCAAAGAGCCTCCGTTTTATCATCTTAACCAGTATGACGAAGGTTAAGATACATCCTCAGTGCACATCCACTCTCATGAGGGATACAGAGGTTCTGTCTTCCATTCTAAATGGGGAACCAAGATCTTGCACTCAGGGATCTCCCAATCTGACATGGAGGCATCTCCGAGAGCCCCATTCTAAGAAGGTGTCCCAGCCAGGGGTTGGGGGGTGAGCTGGAAGGAATGCTGCTCATACCCTAGGATCCCCACCCAAGCCTCATTCCAGCCCATCTCGTCTACCAGGATCTTTGGGTTTGTAGCCAAGAGTCAAACTGAGCAGCAAGAAAATGTGTGCCACCTCTTCGCGGAGTATGATGCGGTGCAGCCAGCCTCACAGGTCATTGGCCTGGTGACTGCTATGCTGCAGGACACAGAAAAGATGTAAGGGGGAGGACCAGCAACTTCCCAGCCGCCCACCGCCACCTCTGAACAGGGGCTTGGGACCACATTCACAGACCAATCTAGTGACCAGAAGAGAACAGCGTCAAGTTGAAAGCCTTGACTTGCTGCATCCAGACCTCCCTGGGTCTCCGTTTCCTTCTGTAAAAGGAAAATAGACAGGATCCGCTGTTCTTCTCAAACTTTGGCGGACATTTTTCACCAGCTCCCCCAGTGGGTCTACAACACATACCCCTCTGAGAACCCTTCACTGAAAATAACCTTCAAGGACCCTCTGAATCCCTCAACCTGGACACTTTACCCACCGACCTGTGACCTGTGTCAGGACAAACAGCAGGAGCTGGGCTGGCCTGGAAGGGGGTGCAACTTTTGAGGGGAAAAATGAGGGCTGCACTGACTATATTCCACTACGTATTCCTTCCCTTACTTCCCTGGCAACTTCTTGGACAGCTACTCCCAGGATAAAGTTGGGTCCCTCTTCCCAGGATTCTGGGGTCCAACCCAGCTGATGCTACTGGGGCAGCTCAGCAAGGAGGGGTTTACCCCCTTTGTTAGAAACAATCCTACTCTACTGTTCTGATATTCTTGATGTTTAGCTCCCTTACCAAGGAATATCAGTCCTATCTTTTCTTTCAGTTTTTGGTAAGCAAATATCCTACAGCCAGCCTCACAGCTGCTCTACTGTTACTTGTATAGCCCACGTCTGAAGGAGTGAGGCAGAGAGACTACTAGCTGTCTTTGTTCTACCTCAGCTCTGGTGCAAAGTCCCCCACCATCACACACTCACTCCTGCAGCTATGTGGCGTCTACTGGTCTTATAGCCACAAGGGGGCAGCAGAGAGTCAATAATGCAAACAAGCTGCCACCCCAAGAAGACTAGAGAAACTGGGAGATCTTTTCTCTTCCCAACACAACCCCCAAAATCTGGCAACGTTTGTCTAGCCGGCCGAGCGTCCTAAAGAAACCATACCTAGGGGTGGAAGGGGAAGCTTGGGGAGAAAAAGCCAACTTTTGTTCTACTAGGAACAAGTGCCTGCCCACTCCTAGCTGTAGGAGGCCCTTCCAGAGCGTCATTATCTTTGGCCAAGGTTGGGTCTGACAGGTTATAATTTCAATCCAGGAAACCAAACCAGACTGCAGCGGGGCCGGGGCTGGCGGGACAGGCTGAGAACAGCCCACCCAGCCTGTGGTCAGGCACTGCCCCCACTCCAGGAGTCTGCAAAATGTTCCATGTGACGATTCTCAAGGACACACTGCCCAGCTCTAGCCCGGGCCCATCATGGAAAACAAAGTGTCGGTTCTGAAGCATTCAGGGCCCTGTTTTAGGGGCGGAGGCTGAGTAAACTCAGCAAACTGTCTCAGAGACGAGGTGTGCCGCACGCAGGCACGCACGCCCGTCCAACCCAGGGCCCCAGCCACTGGTTCCCACATCATAAAGCATTTCGTAACCCACCCTGTGACCCCTCATGCCCTAGACACAGTTTGTCCTTCTTTATGACCTGTTTTTCCGCCACCCTGCCAGAAGAACAGAAGGGCTGAGTAAGTGCAGGTCTTCAGATAAGGGTCAGGGAAATGCAAGGAGAGTCAGCTGAAGAAGAGTTCAGAAAAGTCCCTGAACCCAGTTGACCCAGAGTTGTCAGCTTAGCCCCAAAGAAGGAGACTAGAGCTCTTGACCCTGGGCCTGGTGAGTCCCGCTCTGGCTTCTGTCTCCAGTTATCATGGTCCCAGGGCAGTGTCCCAGACCTGCTACAGAGCCCCTGCAGCTAGGAATCCAGGGTTGGCAGGCCATGAGGAGGTCTCACTGAAGGTTAGGAAAGGGGGGTATAAAGAAATGCCCCTTTCCTAAAGACTCTTAAGAACTGGAGAGCATCCTCATCCTGGTTGGGCTAAGCTGTGTGACCCAGGGCAGAGGCTGCCCTGAGGAACTGTGAAGAGACCCTTCTGAATGGCCTTGCACCCCCATCCAGTGGCCCCTGCTACCCCTTCCATACCCAAGCAGTTTCAGACTGGAGTCCTCTTAGCCCCTGCTCCGGCCCCCTCCGGAGCCAGGGACAGTCTATGGAAGACAGCAATCTCTGCTACATTTGCTGTAATTTCTCTTTCTCCAGGAAAGTTTAGAAGAGAATTTGTCTTGGGCTTTTGCCGAGAACTGAGCAGCCAGCCAACCAAGGGCGGGAGGAATGAAGGGGAGGAAGGGGCACCACCAAGCCAGGAGCCCAGGAGCGGGCTCTCTTCTCCCCATGAGTTTTCTCCCCTAGAAGCTCTGGGCCTGTGTAGCCCTGTGGCTTTAAACCCCCTTCCCAAGTGCCCCCCACTTTCTCCCGAGTTTTCATTGTTCCCTGTCGCTTTTTCCATCCTTCGAGAGAAGTATGGAAAAAGGGACAGGGAGCAATGAAACGTAAGTGCCCACTTCCCCTCCCTCACTTCCTCTCTTTCACTCTCACCTTCCTCGGTGTCATCACACCTTCTCTGCCCACCCACCCCCAAACCCACCTGCTCCCTCTTTACAGAAAACCCCTCTCCACTCTCTGCTCTTTTACCAATTGAATCCCTGCACCCTTTTGTCCCCAGGTTGGTCCACAGTGAACTCCAGCTGTGGATGCGGGTGAGAGGGGATGGGGGTAGCCCCCTGCACTGCAGTCCAGTTTGCCAAGCTCAAATACCCGTCCCATCCCCAAACTCTGCCTCCTCTCTGGCTACAGAGTGACTTCTCACCCTAGACCCACCTTCCACTGAGGGTCAAGGCTGCTCCCTTCTGCTAGCCTTTCTGCTTCCCATCCCTAACTCTCCTGCATTGGTCTATTGCTCAGAGACTAGAACCAGGGCAAGCATAGTAAGTCAGGGGTCAGGGGCTTCCAAGCCGGGGCCTAGTGCCTGGATTTATGCAGCAGACATTATCTAGCCACATGCTTGTGTGTGTGAACCAGAAAAACAGATAAATACAGCACTGTAAACAGATTTGTGAGTGCCATGCGGGGCTGGTGAGAAAGGCAGACACAGGAAGAGAAACTACCCTTGGAGAGAATGTCACCAAAGAGGTAACGTTAAGGTTGGGTGTTTAAGGATGAACAGGACTTCAACATATGAAGAAAAAAGAATAAATCATCTTTCACTGAGGGCTCCTCTGTGCTAAGTGCAAGATGGAGCACATTTTATATGTTTAGTCCCATTTTACAGATTGGAAAACTGAGGCTCAGTGGCTCCACTTGCTCACACTCACATAGCTAATAAATAACAGAGAAACTACAGGACTCCAAATTCATGCCCATTCTACTTCCCTAGCGTTCTCAGCCAAGCAGATGAGCTAATCCGTGTATGAAACACATGAATATGAAAAAGTGGACCATGGACCAAACTGACAACAGCAACTTGAATGATTAGGCAGGAACGTTAGGTGGCATTGAATTTATGTAAATGAGGGAGAAACAACTCAGACAAGGAGGGTGAGGATGGTTACACAACTCAGCGAATGTAATCAATACCACTAAAAAGTACACATAGAAAGTGTTGAATTGTGTATGTTTTGCTGTGTATAGTCTCAACAATATAAATAAATGTAATGGGGAAAAAAGGGGGTATGTTCAGTGTGGTTCAAGTATAGGGTACCCAAGGGAATCTGGTGAGAGAAGGAGAGGAAAGAGGCAGAAACTGGATAATCAAGAGCTTCAGAAGCCAAGCTGAAAGTCTAAGGAATGTATGAGTGAGTGAAGAAATGAATGAATGAACATGAACTCAGAACCACTGTGTACAGTTTTGCAGGTTGCACAATGCACAATTGTACGTGGCAGCTGGCTTGGATTCCTCCTTAGTCGGTGAGGAAAATCAGAGGCTTTCCAGCTGGGGAGTTGTCAGCCAGATTTATGTTTTAGAAATAAGAGCTCGGGGGTGGGGGGTGGCAAGAGACAGGCATGAGGCTGGAGTTGGGGTGAAGAAAACTGTGAGGACGTGAAGTTCAGGCCAGGAGAGGAAGAAGAGCTTCAAAAGATGGGCTCTCACCTCAAGACAGGCTCAGGCAGGACGCTGCTTGACCAGGGCCTAAATTCTGACTTCTCTCAGAGTTTGGAAGGACCATGTGGGAAAGAGCAGAACTAGAGATCCCCACCCACCTCCTCCAAGCAGGGCTCTTGCCCAGCCATGTTCTCCACCCCCACTCCATTCCTGGCCAGGCTAGAGCCCTCAGCCCCAGCAAAACAGACCCTCCTCCCAAATCTGTGCCTTTGGAGACTGGTTTTGAAACTGTTTCCTGGAAGGCATCTCCCCAGCCAGCTCCAGTAAGGGGGCCAAGGGGAGCTTGGCATGGAGTAGGTCTGGGGGCAGGGAGACAAGCCAGGAGGAGGGAGCCTAGGGGGAGAGAGAATGAAAAGGGGAACAAGAAGGGAGATTGACACACACTTCCTCAGTCAGTCAGTCAGTCAACAAATACTTGCCGAGGCTCCTCATGAACAGTGCAGAATGAGGTATGCAGAAGGGGGCAGGAGAGGGGGAAGAGATCTGCCTATGCTCAAGAAGAGATGTGCTTCTCTCCTCCCAGCACTGGAATTTGACATCCCATCAGCACTGAAATAGGACACATCCTAGTTTGCACCACTTCCACCTACACACACACACACACACACACACACACAGAATTAAAAGCCTGAATATAAGCTAGCCCCTCTGCATGGACTAGCTGCACAGTTTGAGGCAAGTCACTTCTCCGCACAATGAGCCTCAGTTTCCTCAATTGTAATACCTACCTAAGTTCAAAAGACATACCAGACCCACATGCATTTTGTACCCTCTGGAGCACTGTACAAATGTTCATTGTTCAGAAGAGAGTACTTCTGTCAGCCTTTGATGGAGCACTCACTAAATGCCCAGCACAGTACCACTGGGCTGGAAGCTCCTAAAGGAAAGGACTGGACTTGCTTAACCACCTAGCACCAAGAACAGTGCCGGCCACACATTAGGTCCCTCAATATTTCTTTATTAGAAGCTTTGCATGTT